ATGCCAACCATGCTCACCTCCCAATGGCAGGAGTATTTTAATGAATGAAAAAGATAGGCAATAGTGTTTCCTGGGATATAATATCCTATATCAACTAAGCTTTGATTTAATTCTGCTTATGTCTAACATTTTACTTAACATTTCCATATCTAACTTGATTAAAAGTACTTATGCTAACTTTAGAGTAGAAAGCTAGTTGTGTAGGATATATATACATTTTTCAGATTGACTTCAATTTCTATTTCCTCCTCAGTAAATACTTCCTTCATCAAATTATCTTCAACAAAATCATCCACTTACTATGGATGTGCTATCAGCTGTTTATGCTATACATAAACTGTAGAAATTAATTAATATACTTAAAGAGATAATTCAGATATTTTTCCTTTCCAATAGGGCATTTTAATTATAGTAAATAAGATGGGATTTTGAGTAGTCTTGTCATTCTTTGTCCTTTAGTATGTAAATAAGATATGATTGCACAGTTTTGGTCATTTACTTACAGAACGTACCTAATCTCGTGATCTAACTTGCGTTTGTTTGTTAGTGTATTTAAAAGTCATAAGCCCTTTTTCACTTCTCCCTTTATAACAACTCTTGATACCTAAAAAACTGAAAGAGGCAAAGTGGTATCTATATACAACTTCAAGTAATAAATAGATTGACTTTAATAATGATAGAGTATTGTAAATATTGTAACAAGAATAGCAGTAAAGATCTTTGGAGAATCTCATGGAGACAGTATTGGAGGCCTACTATGTACAGGGCACATTTGATAGAGACCCTACATATATATGCATGTAATAAAGTGGTGGGCACATTAGTGAAAGTTCTAGTTGCAATAAGTGGGTGATTTTGTTGAAGATATTTTGATGAAGAAAATATTTGCTGAGGTGTTGGCAGGAGAAGTTATTCAAAAAAAGATAATAAATCACTGAGAGAAACAAGAGCTGGGGAATGTCCCTCAAGTGAGGAGGCAAGGCTCTAAACTATGACCAGAAATCTGAGAGTTCAGGCATGAAGAAACACTCATTCAACCGACCTGCAGCCCAGGAAGATCAAGGCAGAAAAGGAATTGGGCAGTCATATGCTATTTCACCTTCATCCTGTTGTCAACCAGAGGCCAAAGGGTGAGAGTACTGAGTGGCAGAGTTTTAGAAATAAGGGAAAATACACAACTAGACAAAGGCGGGTAGAGGATGAGCCTGTGGAAGCAAGTAGGGAATAATTAGAGTACTCGGTGCTTAATTAAATTAAATTGGTTTGTTACTTTTAAATACAATATAGTTACACAAATTATTAGAAAAAGTGATTGCCTAGGGGGTTAATATTTCCTAATAAAATATCTTTAGTACTGAAATAAAATCTCTTTGTAATTGTAGAGGCAACTGCTAGATTTCTGAAGACATCGATAGAGACCAGAGTCTGACCTCAGTAGATGGAACTGTTTATTGGCACACAGCACGGGGCAGCCTCTCTCCCTAAGGAAGTTGAGGGGTCTACCAAGGGGAAAAGTTGGTAGAATGAGAGGCTTGAGAATGGGAAACTGTTGCAGCTATGGGGGCCTATGTGTCTCTCCTCAGTCTATCTTCCTGAAATTGTTTGCTCAACCGCCATTCATTTTCTGTGTTTCTTTCATTCAGCTGATTCTCTCAGCTGATAAGTCTGACCAAGGTCATCTGTAATCTCATGGAAATCCCTTTTTACAATAGAAGCTTTCTGCCAGCAACTGTTTGTCTCATATATTTTTTAATTCTTGCCTTAATAAAATGTTGCAATAATTATCATACAAAGAGTTTGAAACTAGAGTAACTCTGTTATATAGGACAGAAACCAAGGAGACCCAAGTCCTTTTTGTCCACAGTATTGATTCCATGGTAAAAGAATTTATAAGTGGACATTACAGGCCAGAAAGAAAGCTTTATTTAGAAAAGAACTTGAGATGTGCATGTGGAAGCAAAAATATAAGACTCTGGCCAGCAGTAGCAGGTGGTCTTGCCAGGCAGGACCTCACTGGGCAGGTGGTGGAGCTTGTTACCTCATGTTTGAGTGGGCTTGATTATATTCAAAACTTTAAATTATTTGTGCATGTGTGGTTAATTAGGACTTAGATCATTCTCTTGCTAGTGGGGAGGTAGTCACATACACTGTGCAGATGACCTTGGAGGACATTAACAGACTCAGAGTAACAGTCAAATGTTCCTGGTGGAAGCTTACCGAGTGCTCATTCATCTTGAGGCTGGCAATGATTTAAAATGCTCCTCATTTGTGATTGCACAGAGCAGGCAGTTGATCTCAATAAGTGCAAAACAAGGAAGAGATGTCTTAATGGGGGAGGGGAGTTCTTTTGTTTCTGGTCTCTGACTCCCAGCTTGCTAATTGTCTCACCTCAGTTTTAAAGTTTTATAAATGATTGTGTATTTAACCTAAGGAACATGGGTTAATTTTCTGGAGCCTTCCTCAGAAATCAGTTCTTTGAATCTTCGTGTGCTTAGACAATGTAAGGGCCAGAGGACTCTGCTAAGACTTCTGTCGAACCTCTCATATTTGATATTGGATGGTTATTTTACTGATTTTATTAAAGCAGTTGACATTTACTATTTAACATGTGCCATCCCATTGTGCTAAGACCTTTATAGATATTCATACACTTTGTCCTAATAATAACTGTCGAGTGTGTGCAGACTTGATAGCAGTTTGGAATGCATCAGTAAGTTCTACAAATAGTATATAGAGCTTTACATTCTGGCAAGAGTATTTTCTTACCATTTCGTTGTTACTGGCATTCTCTGCTTATTCTTGAACACTGTATCATGTTTATGAGCCATTTAGATGTTAGCCCTATCCCACACAAACACTTTGAACCCAAGACCTTTTCATGAGGCACATTGTCTAAGAATTTTGACTCTAAGAATTTTTTTAAAAGATGAAAGCCCTTGGCCTAGTATCCTGCCTGCTCTTACGAGATTGATTCTCTTTTGTTGCTAATTTGGAGGAAGTCCGCTTGTATATCGGATATATGCTGCTTGTTGTAAAGACTTCTGCCAGTCTATAGAAGATTGATGCTATAGTAGTATTAAGAACAGGAAGGGTTAGTATAGGCGTGAATGGGTGTTTCTAATGAGATGAAGATATAAAAACTATAAGGGTAATAGATTTTCCAAGGAAAAAAGTAGTTTGATTAAAACAAGGACATTAAGGAAGATGTAGAAAGTTTATAACACCATGACACAGCACCAAGGAAAGCTCTAAAAAATAGCAAAACCATATATGGTCTTTGAATACGCTTAGCCCAGGGAATGGCACTTTCAGGTGTGGCCTTGTTGGAGGAAATATGTCATTGTAGGGGTGAGCTTTGAGGCCCTCCTCCTAGCTACCCATGAGACCAACTTCTTCTGTTTGCCTTTGGAATAAGATATAGAACTCTCAGCTTCTCCAGTGCCATGCCTGCCTAGATGCTGCCATGATAATAATGCACTGAACCTCTGAATCTGTAAGCCAGCCCCAACTAAATGTTGTCCTTTATAAGAGTTGTCTTGGTCATGGTGTCTCTTCACAGCAGTGGAAACTGTAACTAAAACACCATACCTCTCTAGAACATTTCCCATACTTAATTCCCTTCTGTTTAGTAAAAATGAGGCTAGGTAACCTAAAAGGAACTTTGAAGTTTCTCTTGCCTCTGAGTAGTTCAGTGCTTTTGCTCGTCTGGAAGGGAGTGAGTAGTCCTTAAGTAGTGTCATAGGCTGGTGGAGTTTGAGATAGGCTTGAACCAGGATGGCAAGACTAGGGGAATTTGCTTCCCTATGAAGATCTCTAGATGGCTGAATAAGTTACTGGGCATTAAATTTTGCACCATTGTGCAGCTGCCCTTCTGATCTTATGATTAGCATTTTAAAGTCAAATTATGATTAAGCTTTGATTGCTAAAGACTTAGGTGTATCTTTTCTCATAGAACTTTCTGGCTCACTTTTGGGTAAGTTCTGTGCAGATAACCATAGCTTTTGGTTTAAAAAAACAACAGAAATCTAAGGGAGGTTTGTAATGAATGCCTGACTAAAGAGAAATTCTTCACTCTAGAAGACAAGGAGATCCAAGGATACTGGGTTCAACCATTGTTTCTGCCACAACCCTCTTTTTTATGGTTGACATATTTTCCTAAGATGTTTAAGGAAAAAAGCTTAGAATGATATGGACATATAACCAAGTTTAAGTAGATCTTTTCCATCAGAATTAGCTCATTAACTTTATGACATTCTGAATTAAAGACTCTTGCTATAAAATAATTTTACCTGTCCTAGAAGAATAGAAAATTAATTTAAAAATCATTTGTTATTTTTACTAATTTTTGAATTTTTATTTCTTTTCTAAAGATGTATCTAAGGTTTTATTAAAATTCTAAATACAGTAAATACAATTGAGCATTGAAAGCATAAAGTATTACAGAGGAAAATATGTGATTTTATCTTTATGGAAATAAACATTAAACCCATTATTGAGAATAGTCTACAGAAAAGATTTTAAGAGGACATAATATGAAACCCTTAGGTAGAATGAGCTCAGAAATTAAGTGAAAATCTGGAAATATTTTAGGTTACTAAAAATTAGCTGATAACTGGGAGGTGGTAGCACTCAAGAAGCAGAACCAGGCAAATCTCTGAGTTCAAGGCAGCCTGGCCTAGAAAGTGAGTTTCAGTTCCAAAAGAGTCAGGCTACACAGAGAATTCCTGTTTTGAAAAACCATGTTGGAGGTGGGATGGGGGTTGCCTGTGTGGGTAGGGGAGAGAGAGAAAGAGAAAGAGGGGAGAGGGAAGAAAGAATGAATTAGCCAATAAAGCAAGCAACATATAGAATCCCATAGACAATATAGATTTTTAAGTTGTCTTCTTCATAGCAACACTTGAAGAAAATTTATTTAATGTAATTATCATTGTTACTGAGGTGATTTACTTCCATAGCATCGTGTGCACGACTCTAAATGATAATATTTTTTTCCTCTGCAGGGAAGAAGGTTGATAGCTGTAGGACTAGGTGTTGCAGCTGTTGCATTTGCAGGTACGTTGTTTTGGTTTTCAGACATAATACTTTCCCTATTGTTTACAGGTAACCTAGCAGTAATCAGTCAAGCAAAATATAAATAAGCTTTATAGTAAAGAAAATTGTTGGTCAGTGAACTAAGAAAACTAGCTGCATAATGGTTGATATTCCTGTATATTCTTTTCCAGTTTTTTTTACAATATACAACAATAAGAAATCTTTAGTATGGGCTGATGAGATGGCTCAGTGACTAAAGCACTTCTATGCAAACCCAAAGGTCCAATTCAGACACAAGAACACATGCTAAAGTCACACAATCGATCATGTAATTCCAGTGGAAGGCTGAGACAGGATCCTTAGAACTCCTGGACCAGTCAGCTTGGAGTATACACCAGTTAACAACAGAAAGACTATGTCAAACCAGGTCAAAAGTGAGGCCCAGCATGCTAGGTCATCCTCTGACCTCTGCATACCGGCTGTGTCACATACATTATTCTCCCCTCCCCCACACATGTAATAAAGAAAGAAAGCCTGCTGGAGAGATGGCTCAGCACTTAGGAGCACTTGCTGCTTGCTCTTCCAGAAGACCAGGGCTCAGTTTCTAGCTCCTACATCAGGTAGTTCACAACTACTCTAACACCTCTATTGGAGCCAACCCTTTTTTTTTTTTTTTTTTTTTTGCTTTTGCAGATACATGCCCACAAATATACCTAAATAAATAATAAAGTAAATCTTTAAAAAATAAAAATATTATGTTTTATTTTTTGCTATTAACCAATCATGTGTTTGTGTACATGTATGATGTATGAGTCTGGGCAGGAGTACATAGACAACTTTAAGGAGTCAGTTCTTTTTCTACTAAAGAGGATCCAGGATGGAACTTGGGTTGTGAGGCTCAAACAACAAGTACTTTTACCTTCTAGTCATCTCTCTGGCTCTAAAATCTTTAATGCAATGCAATATAGGTGATGGAGTTTCCTTTATGCTCTCATGTTTATACGGGCTTAAACATTTTAAGATATGGTTTTCTTCTGAAGAATATAGCTGTTCCTTGACTACTTAGTCATCTCATAACTGTTGATAAACTGTTTTCTTTTTTCTTTCTTAATTTTTCTATATAGCTTTTTGTTTGTTTATAAACGTGGGAGAATTTAGTTCACCACCAGAATTATCTTATTAGAAAAGATGATTTTAAATATTAAAAATACTTATACAATTATTAACTTACAACTTTAAATTACATAGCTATTTCCTCACTAAATGTTAATCTGCTCATATTCCCTTGTGTTAATTTTGTTTGTTGTTGCTTTGTTATAATACCTTGATAAACAACTTGGGGGAGAAAGGGTTGTTTTAGCTCACAATTCCAGATACAGTTATTATAGCATAAAAATAAAGGTGCCAGAAACTTAAAGCAGCTAGTCATATCCACAGTCAAAACAGAAAGAGAATTATTGCATGCATGCTTGTCCTCAACAGTCTTTCTCCACCCTTACTCAGTTCAGGATTCTCTGTCTAGGGAATGGTGTCACCTATAGTAGGCAGTCTTCCCACACCAATGAACATAATGAAGACATTCTACAGACATGTCCATAGGTCAACCTGAGCTAAGATGGCCCTTTATTGAAACACTCAGGTGATTTTTAGACTGTGTCAAGGTGACAATTAAAATTAACCATTATACCATGTTATTTAAGTTTTTGTTTCTAAATTCTATGGATTTGATAATGTTAATTATATTTTTTCTTTGGACAAAGCTACATTCCATTGGGTGTTAATACAGTTAAATTCAAATACAAAATGACAGAGTTTTATTTGGTTTTTTTATACAGTATTTAATTTTACACAGTTCTCATTAGAAACAATCAGAACTTAAAATTAACAAGACACTTTAGATCTTTTTGCCAGCAGGGATATGTGCCGATTTTATACCATAGCTAACTACTTTTGAGCTTTGATGAGAAAAAGATAGTGTTTTTAAAGGAATCCTGAAAGTTGTCATAAACATAAATTAATTTTGGTACTATTATAGGGTAGACATAATTATAAATTCAACTGTGAATTTTTCATTTTAATTTAGAAAAAGGATATATCTTATCTGCTCTTTTTTCAGACAATGACAAGAACTTGTGTGTACATTTTACACAGAAAAAGTTCATGTTACAAATTAGAGTAGCAGAACTTGCCCAGAGCTAAATAAAACTGAGTAAAAGAACTTAGGAGGAGGTATACTTCCGTTTGTTGCAACTAGATCTTCTAGTTTATGTTTAAATGAACCTTCAAATATCACTTCCTGAAATCTTTATCTTTCCTTTTCACTAAGGAGTTTAGTAGGTGTGCCTGATTGTGGTTTTCAAGAACTTTGAGGTGATTTGAAAGTGATGTTTTAGCCGGGCGGTGGTGGCACACGCCTTTAATCCCAGCACTTGGGAGGCAGAGCCAGGTGGATTTCTGAGTTCGAGGCCAGCCTGGTCTACAGAGTGAGTTCCAGGACAGCCCGGGCTATAAAGAGAAACCCTTGTCTCGAAAAACCAAGTTTTATATATGGAGTAAAATGGTAAATTGTCCTGAGAGATCCAGGTAGTTGAATTTTCCCACTGGAATTTTTAGTTTGCAAATGAGCTTCTGGCTAGCATTAGAATTTAGATTTGTGTTATCTTACACAAGACCAGTGGGAAGGGCACAAGTAGAACGTGTGCCTTCTGATGGTATTCTTGGGCAAAACCTTCAGAATGACTTAGGATCTGTATTGCTGTAGATTCTCACTTGTCAACACAAGGGGCTGTTAGGACACTAAACAAAGGGAAATTGAAGTCAGAGTTTAGTCATTCTTTCAAAAACTCGGATATATTTTTAGAACAGAAACTCATTAAATTTTGCATCTTTGGTTAATTGTTAGGAAATCTCTGACAAAGATCAGTCTAGTAATTTTGATTTAACAACTAACATTTCCTCTCACAGAGTTTCTTATTATTTCTCTAAGTATAATAAAAGCACATGTTTTTGATTTGATTTTTCATTTCCTAATCCAATTTTATTTCTTAGTGATTTGATTTGATCACTTTCTAATAATCAAATTAGGAACATTTACTCCAACCTGCATATGTAAAAATGTAAGTTTGTGTTTAAATAAACTGAACCATTTTACCTTTCAATTTCAGTAGTAACTATAATCTAAAATATAATAGTCATTGTAATCTTTTGATCACCTTGGAGATAATTTCCACACTCTTTTCAGGTACATTGGAGCTAAGAGTGATACTAAGTTTTATGGATGAGAAATCACTGGAATCTGGCAATTTCTAAATGAGATTAAACATTTAAAAACCAAAAAAGGAAAAATAAAGTAAGATTTTAGAGAAAGTAAACATCCAAAGTGAGAAAAACAGATCAGCATCCCTTTAGGAAATAGCTTCACATGCGGTTGCTTTCTTACTCTACAGGTTACTCTAGTAAGTGCGTTCCTATACCGTGTGTCTTCAGAAGTGTTTGTTTCCTGTGTATTTCAATGTGATTAGCATCATAAATGGCAATATGATCATTTAGTATCATAAGTATCTGTTACAAACAGTGACTTGTTCTGTTCATTTTATTGTGGAAGGAATATTAAGATGTTATTGAATTCTGTAACATTTTATAAGTATAAAATATTATACATATAAACACTGAAAACTAATTCTATTATCATGAGCTAGAACTTGATGTGTGTTGGGCATGATAATATTAAAGTCAAAGTCTGTCTATTTAGTAAATTACAAGTTTGAAAAATGATAGATCTTTTTGATAAAATTTGAATACTCATTTGAAATAGCATTTATAAGATAAACTATCAAACTTATGTATTAAGTACTTTAAAAGTAATGACTGGCATTGATTATGAAAAATGTATTTGTTTTACTTACTGTTTAGGTCGCTATGCATTTCAAATCTGGAAACCTCTAGAACAAGTAATCACTGCAACAGCAAGGAAGATTTCCTCTCCAGTAAGTTCGATGAGGCTGTAATTAGGAAGCTCCTACTGATGTTCACTTGTTATCCTGCAGAGCAACTCAGAGCATCTCTGAACATGTCTTAGGCTTCCCACCTGGAAGTTGGGAAAAAGCAGATGTTTGCTTCCCTCACGTCACTTATGAGTCTGTCTAGTTCATGGATTTAAGTTTCTTAGTCATATCATTTTTATGTGTGAACTTCGAGTTCTGGTTTTAATGGCTAGTATACTCTAACTAGTGTTGGATAGACTGTCAGGTTTTGAAGCAGGCTCTCGTGTAGCCCAGGCTGGCCTGAGCTCTTTGCTCTTCCTGGTCCCATCTCCTGAGTCTCTGGCTATAGACATGTGCCACCATACCTAGCCTCTGAGTTTTTGGTTTTTTGAGACAGCATCTCACTATGTAGTCAGTGTTGACTTTGAACTCCTGATCCACCAGCAAGTATTGAGATTACAGGCATGTGCCATCATACCTGACATCTCTTCCCTTTTTAATGACTGTTTATTTTCTCAATAAACACTTAGTGAGAGCCACCACTTACCAATCCCTGTGCTAGGAGGTGAGAATAACAGCCAAATAAAGCAGACCAGACCTCTGCCTCCTAGAGCTTATGTAGAGTGTATTTCACCTTGATACCCTGGCTCACTGCACTTGACCATCTCAAACATAAAATTGCAAAATTCCAACCATGAAATCCTATAGGGCTATAAATTCATTTAACAGAATTCTAGATATTCTTATAGACTTGATAGAAGTGCAGAATGAATGAAAATAGGTATTAAAAAACTATAGTGTGTTGGGAGCTGGAGAGAAGGTTTACTGGTTAAGAGCCTGGTTGCTCTTCCAGAGGATTCAGGTTCATTTCCCAGCACCCACATGGCATCTCCCAAGTGTCTGTAACTCAATTTCTAGGGCATCCAACCCCCTCACACAGACAACAGCAATGCACAAAAACTAAATCAATAACTTTTCTTAAAAATTGCTACAGTGTGAATGGCAGTTTGTGATCACTGAAGAATATACCATGAGGATTCACGGAATCACTGCAATGTAAACATTGACTTATGGACATTAGAGCCAGATCTGATTAGATCAACTTGGTTTGTAGGAATTTGAGAGTGGATGAGTTGTTTTAGCAAAGACATTACAAGCCCATAGGGCTCAGTTGATGACAGCCCCTTCAAAGGATGACATAATGGCAAGTAATTCAGCCCATGTTCAAAAGAACTGCAAGAGAGTTTTTAAAAACCTGAATGTAGTTTATAGAATTTATAGCGTCTATAGAATGTAATTTTGTTTTCTGTTTTCCATTTATATTTAATTTGACTAGTATTGGTAGATAGACATTTTAGCATTTGTTTAGTTAGTATTCACTGCGTGTCTGCTACATGGCAGACACTGTAGGCAGTAGAATATACTCATAGACCAAAGATACTTCTCTCTGGGAGCTTATGTTTTTATATTTAGTGGAGATAAACAATTTAAAACATGGAGATTTCCAAAATTATCAAGTATCCTTAAGAAACCCAAACCAGGTTAAGAACCAAGAATAGTAGAGGAGAAGGGATATGTGTATTACCCAGGCCAGACAGAGCCTTTTAGGAGATGGGGACATGGACCGGATGAGCATTTGAAGGAACAATGTGGTGTTATGGGCAGTAGGAGCTCTAGAGGTTCCAAGATGGAATGTGCTTAGCAGCAAAGGTAATTCCAGTGGCAACCAAAGACAGTAAACTAGCCGGGGCCCAGATCTCTTACTGCCTAGGACCATGGCAGCAGCTCTCTTCTTCTTTCTTTCTTCTGAGTATGAAAGATTTTGAACAGGGGAAAGGACAGTTTGACATGCTTTCTATTAGCTTATCATTTGTCTTGCCAAATCTTCAGAGTGTAGACCAGAGTGAGCCAGAGCTCACTGTGAAGGTAGTTGAGAGGTAATAGTGTTAGGTAATAAGGGTGTGACACTGTGACAGGAATGAGAACTGTAACAGGGTTCACTGAGTTTATGTCGGCTTTGTCTGTCCATGCATGTCACTTATAACTGAAAAAAAAATTAGAAATTCTCCTGCTTCTGTTCTGGTGATCTTCTGTAAATATATGTACACCACAAATAGAAAACCTTTAAGCTTTATGGAGCATATATTATTTAATGCTGCAGAAGAAGGAAAAGGCCTTGAGAATGTCTTCATCATTGCACTGCTCAGGAGAGGCCTGCAGCAGGCCAGGCCAGCTGGCAAGCACATGCTGGAGGCTGTTCCTAAGGAGAGAAGCATGAGTGTGTTTGATGTACCATCAAACCATCTACCCTGTGGATGTGATAGTGACATACAATTATCCTACCTTTTAGTAACCCAACTTGGTTCAAAAGTTAATACTTATCAAGTCCTGTAAAGAAAGAAGTGTCTAGCTGGCTTATCTCATTTGTTGTTGTTGTTCCTGGCTTTTTCTTCTATGTTTTGTAATTCTTCGTTTTGCAAATCACCAGGCTGGTGGTTAGCATTGGCCATCTTTAATTCAATTCATCTGAATTTTATATAAAGGAAATGTTTTTAAATACATTTTATTTTTAATTATGTGTATGGATGTGGCTTTGTCCTAAGAAGCAGTGCAAGAGCCTGTGTTAGATCCCGAGCCTGGATATGGGCAAATGTGAGCTGCCTCCTGGGAGTCTTCTGCAAGAGCCTTCCTGTTCTTAACTGCCAGTTTAATCTCCTCAGCCCCACAGGAGAAAACTTTATTTTCTAATTGGTCTTTGTTTGTCGTTGCTGTTGTTTTCATTAATTTATTTATTTACCTTACCTCCTGATCACAGCTCCCCCTCTCTTCCTGCCCCTCCACAGCCCCTTTCCTCTCCCCTCTTTCCCCTTCTCTACAAAAAGGGAGGCCAACCCACCCTGACACAACAAGTCACTGCAGGACTAGGTTATCCTCTCCCACTGAGGCCAGACAAGGCAGCCGGACATTGTTTTTGTTTCTTCATGGCAATGTATCTGTTTGTTTTTTTCTTAGTCACAAGGGAAGAAATGGCCTCTGAGCTTAATGATTTTTTCTTGGTTTCCTAGGAGGAGTTTATTTACTAATGTGTTTTTTTTGTTCTGTTTTTCTGATATTTGGGTCTATTGTGATGTTTTTTCTGCCTGTAAATGCAGTCTTGCATGGTTTAGATGTCACTATTTGTTTAAGCTTTGTAGCTTACTACTTATTTCTTATTTTCAAAGTCAACTTTTTTTCTTATTAAAAATACTTTCTCATTTCTAAGACACTTGGGGGGGGGGGCAAAGGATCTTTATGATTATCTTAGGGTTTCTTTTGCTATAAAAAGACACCATAACCAAGGCAACTCATACAAAGGAAAACATTTAATTGGGGCTGGCTTACAGTTCAGAGGTTTAGTTTATTATCATTAAGGTGGGAAGCATAGTGGTGTGCAGGCAGACATGGTGGTGGAGGAGCTGAAGGTTCTACATCTGGATCTGCAGGCAGCTGAAATGGAGTGACACTATGTCTAGCTTGAGCATCAGACCTCAAAGCCCGCCCCCACAGTGACACACTTCCACCAACAAGGTCACACCTCCTAATAGTGCACTCTGTATGGGCCAAGCATTAAAACAGGAGCCATTCCTATTCAAACCACCACAATGACTCAGTCTGTTATTTTGAACTAGTGCCCCTTTGTTTATTATTTAAAATGTATAAATGAATACTAATTGGTTCAACAAATGTCTGATTACTCCTAATTTGGGGATAGAGTCCTGAATCATTTATCTTCTTCGAGGCTTTTAATTTTCTATTTGTAAATTTGTCTTTTTATTTGAAGTCATCTTTCTATGGCTCTATAATTCTTAATAGTTTCTCTGAAGTGTAGTCACCTTACCCTGTGAATGATAGCCACTCTCACCTGCTTTTCTGGAGGATTGTTCCTGTTACCGACCAAATGACTAATGAAGATCTGTTCAGCTTGAGCAGGGTGAGCGTTCCTTTGACAGTATGACATGGTATCACTTTATCCTATCTCCAAGAGAAATGAATGTGATTCCTGTTGTTGCTTGTGTGTGCTACTTGAATAGAGTAACACAAAATAATAATTTGTATGTTCCAGGGTATTTCCAGTAGACGGCATCTTCTCTCCATACTTGATCACATAATTGTTACTTGTAATAATATTGTGTTAATGGATCTGGACATTTCCATGGGATTGCAGCATTGTCAGAGTAGGGACTGCAGCATCTTATCTCTATATCCTAAGCAATTCAGTGTTGCTATACCTTATCTTGCCTCAGACACCATTTGAGTTATTATTTAATATTAGAGGAGAGAGATACTGAGTTATAATTTTATACCTGCTTATAATACCAATAGTAATTTAAAGATAATAGATTAGTATATTATAACTTTTTTAAATTGTCTAATATGACAATCTAAACTTGATGGTTGTAGAAAGCAGGATTTTCTGTGAAGCAATGTGTCTATAGTTTAGTAGTTCAGCAACATAAGCTTCCATTTCCTATTGTCTGTTTTTCCGTCTGTTTACTACGCTGGGTTAAGTGTCTGTCCACAAGACAATGTTCTTTTAGAAAGGTATGATGACTTTCAGACATGAAGTTCTTGCAGACACTGGATTTTGAGGAAACTTCTGTGGCACCATTTCCACATAGTAAAAGGGAAAATAGCTCAAGTGTCCGTGTTTGCTTTCAAGGGTAGTGACTTGGGACTATAGAGGGAATGAAAGTTTGGGAAACATTTTATTTTATGCTGACTCAAAGTTTCAGAGCTCCCTAAGGTAGGTGAAGACTCACTGCAGTACCTTTTTTTTTCTTTTGGAAGGAAAAACTTTATCAGCCTTAAGCATGATTTAAGACCAAAAGGTGCCACTGTAGAAATGGCGGCTGTAAGCAATTCAAGTAACTTGCTCTTGTCTAGCAGTAAGGTTTGCATCTAGTGAAGACTTTGGTCTCCTGTGAGAGCCTTTAGGCCCATCTGGCCTTCCTCTGTCAAGTACCCAGTTTCTCTCCAGCTCAGGTACTCCCCTGTCCTCTGTAACAGTCTCTGTGTGTTTTGCTTCTGTAGTGGGTTGAAAATGATGTGGCACTTGGAATAGGGCATGATCCTCCTCATGCCCTGTTTGATTTCTGGATCTGTATCTATATGGTAAAAGACAGCCCTTGACATGACTTGCAGTCACTCATCAACATGGAGGGGGAAGTTGCTTCTGTACCATGCACATACACTCGTTTCTTTTGTCAATATTCTTTAAACAATTACAGTATAACCACTACTTATTTGCATGGCATTTACATTGTTTTAGGGACCTACAGGTGATTCGGGGTGTATAAGAGGATGAGGTAGCTTATATACAGCTATTATGTTGCCATTTTATGTAACATACTTGTACATGTTAGCATTTCAATACAATCAGGGTTCTGGAATCAATCCCTGATATATATTATAGTCAGTAACTATAGTTACTTATTATTCCTTGTGAAAATACAGGCTTCTGTCTAGAATTGTATATGTGTGCAATCATATATGCCTATGTTTCTCTCTAAAACTTGAGTTCATATACCTACTTTTTGTTTAAAGCTCCTGAAAATAATTGCTTTCCCTTGCTGTCTCCTCTGATTTCTTCCCCTCTCCTTTCTGATCTCCCCTTTTTCCCAGTTTGAGACAGGATGTTGTAGCCAGAGGGAGCAGTGATGTGTATGCTTCTCCTGCCTCTCCCTCTAAGTGCTTTGATCACAGCCGTGCACCACCGCACCCAGCTGACTCAGTTGGCTTCATTTGCTCCTGGTTTCTGAGAAGGATCTCTGTACAGCCCAGGCTGGCTGAGCTGAACCTCACTTCTGCTTCTCTGTTGACCTTCTTTTTGCTAATTCCTGGTATTTTCTTGGATCACATTCACTTTTACCCATCAGAAGCATTTGAAACCATTTTACACTACCTCACTTTTGGCTTCTAATTTTTTTTCTATGTCTCAGTGTGGTCAGTCTTAGTGTTTTTTTTTTTTTTTTTTTTTTTTTTTTAGTTCAGTTTCAAGCTTTGATGCAGACTTTGAGGCTCAGTTTCTGTACTTGGACACCTTTGAGAGTCTGGCTCAATCTTTCACCAAGCACTGATCACACAGAACTCTCAGGACTTGTCTGTAGATTGAACTTCTTGTCCACTTAGAAATTTGATAGAAGCTTCAAATTTAATGCATTGGAACCCGTCTTCATCATACCTATTTCCCACAACTGACAACTGTTCCTTCCTTCAATCATTATGGCAGCTCTAAGCCATAAATCTTGAAGCCATTTGTGTGGTTTGAGTTCTCCAAAAAGTAGACAATTGAGGCGAAAATTGGAAAGATATAGCTTTAAGGAACAGACTCAGACTCAGCATCCTTCCAAGCAAGACAAGGGTAGAGGAGCAAGGTGGGTTGCAGTGCAGACTTAGCGAAGGCTGGTCCACAGCAGCTACCATTCAGTGTGGCTAGAACAGGGTTATGAGTTTAACTGTGGCCTAGGAAGTAAGTATAACTGCATCCAGGGTCTGAACCCTAGAGAACCACAGTGCACACACCCTCATATGGTCACTTCAGATATGGGCTGCTCTAGGAAGGGCATGGCCAGCAATCAACAGCCCTGTATCTGAGTCCTTCGGTACTGACAAGGCATCTGGACAGCACATAACTTGTCTTCTACCCCATTTAAAATTTCTCTTTTTGTCATATCCCATATTAGTCCACCAAGCAAATGTTTGCTTTCAAGATACATGACAAATATCTGTCCACTTCCCATCCCACCACATTCTCAGTACCAACTTCCTTCATCCCCAGTGTCTTGCTTGTTCACAATCATGTTCTTCAGCTGGTCTCTGACTTCCAACCTTGTTTTTTTTTCTACTCCTCAAGCTACTCCTTCCAAACAAAGCCAAATGATGTTACTCCAGTGCTCTGGTTTTTCATCCCATTTAGAATAAAAACTTCTCTCCATGGCTTACCAGGCCTTTCACAACCGGTTCTTACTACTTCTGACTTGTACTTTCCTAGCTCGCATCAGCAGCCACCATGGCCATGGCTTACTTTCCCAGCTTCTCTTGACTTTCCTGTCTGTTACCATGACACATTCTTGTTCTGTCATCCAGGATAGAGGGGAACAAATACCTGCCATATCGATATAAGTGACCTGGTCAAGGTTATCCAATGAGAAAAGCAGTTCTTTGCTTAGGGAAAGCATTGGCTTTTGCTGATACTTCAGTTATATCTCAGTAGAGAAAAATTAATGCATTGAAAAGTTGAAAACATTGTTAACCTTTTTCTTACATTCATCTTGGTTGGAGTTTCATGAGAGGATCGTTGTACAGCGCATTCGCATGCAATTTCAAGTTGATTTCTAGTAAAATGCATTGCTCTTGCTGTACCGGCGAGAGGGGTTGAGGTCCTGCTACTAAGTGCATGGAACTAATTATTTCTTGTTCTTGTCCCTGCAGAGCTTTTCATCCTACTATAAAGGAGGATTCGAGCAGAAAATGAGTAGACGAGAAGCTAGCCTTATTTTAGGTGTAAGGTAAGTGCTGCTGCATAAGAATGTTTGTTTTGTGGCCAAGATTGTCTTGAAAATTGGGAAGGGGAGTTAGAATGAGTATACACTCATATTTAAAACTTAAAAATAAAGCCCAGAAAGAACATAGCATGTTTTTGCTTTTTAAAACTCAAGGTCTGGATTAATTGAAGTTATTTATGCTGTTTGCTCTTTAACAGGGGTTCCTAGATTCCAAGTCTGTCCTTCACAAGATCCTCACTGTGTGCTGATTTCTCTCTGGACCAGTTGTAAAATTTGATGCATATCTTTAATTATAACACAGATTTTGTTCCTCAATTCTTTTTTTTTTACTTTTGCAGTTTGCTGTCTACCATATATTATTTTACATTTTACATTTTACCATTCATTTACTATTTAATATTAGACATTGTAGGGAAAAAGCTAATGAAATTGTGTGGCTATGATTAACGGTAATGTCGGGACTGTTTTCTTCTATCATAGATTTACTAGAATCTGTTCATATGGTTCTCATATTGTCCACTAGCGCATATTCTCAAGTGGTTTTGGTTGTTTGTGGGGTTTGTAGTGCTGGGTATTAAATCTAAGTCTTTGAATATGCCACATAAGGACTCTACCACTAAACTCTGTCCCCAGCTGCTAGATTTTTTTGTAACACTGTAACCTAGGCTGGCCTTGAACTCATGAGCCTCCACACTGCAGATTCCAGAGTTAGTGTTATCTACTATACACAGAGATGGTTACAGTATATCATCTACTGCAGATTTCCTAGTGACTCAATCAGTGTGATTAATAGAAGAGTTAACGTACTATACTGACAACCTTTATACATCAATACAGTCTTTAACCCCAAACATTTTTTATGACCTGCTTTAAACAAACAAGCAAACAAACTGTGGGCTCCCTAGATGCTTTCTCCCGTAAAGCATGTACCACCAAGCCTGATGGCCTAAGTGAGTGTAGTGCATTTGGACCTGGAATCACATGAACTCACTCCTAAAACTTGTTCCCTACACACACACACACACACACACACACACACACACACACACACACACACACACACACGGAAGGATGGATACAAATGAATAAGTGCAATAACTTTAAAAGACTAGGATTTATTTTTGCTTAGTGCTTTATTTTAATCTAAGAGATGGGAGTTTTCCTTCTTAGAGAGAGTAGCTGGTAGAGTTAAGCAAAGGGGCCATGTTAGTAACTAACCATTCCTTGCTCGGCACTACTCAGGAAGCATTGTTATCCCTAAGCTTAATGGCTTTGTTTACTCAAGCTCAGTACTATTCTTGTAGGCATAAGAATGCCACTCAGCTCCGCAAATCTTATTTCTTCCACCTACGCCCACCCCCACCTCCCTTCCCCTGCCAATCAAACCTATTACAGGGAGCAGTTTGAAATCCATGGGGTAGGCAACAAATAAATCCATTAAAATGTAGCAAAGACTTAGAGTCTTAATAGAGCAAAAGCAAAAGGGGACTAAACTGCATGTAAATGAGAGTCCTCCCCTCATCTTCAAAGCTCTCCACTAAGATGATAATTATCCTAAAGGCAGTGGTGTAAATTACTTGTGGACACAAACTTCTCTTCCATGCATTTTTATTTTAATCTAGTTTGGTGGGTAGCAGACCTCAGAGTACACAATACTTCAGGGTTTGTGTTAAAAAAATGTTACTCTTTGTTTTTAAATAGGCATTTTAATTAATTTTCAAGGATATTATAACATAATTTTTAGACTTTGTTTCATATGTTCAATTAAAACTTAATATCTGGCCGGGTGGTGGTGGCGCACGCCTTTTATCCCAGCACTTGGGAGGCAGAGGCAGGTGGATTTCTGAGTTCGAGAGTTCGAGGCTAGCCTGGTCTACAGAGTGAGTTCGAGGACAGCCAGGGCTACACAGAGAAACCCTGTCTCGAAAAAACACCCCCCCCCAAAAAAAAACCAAAAAAACAAAAAAAAAACTTAATATCTAAGATAAGAACCAATAATACTCCCTGTGACTTCAAATATGTACAATAGAAATTTGTGTTTTCCTAAATCTATGTCTTTATTAACTAGTGATAGCTTTCTGACGTTTTGTGAAGCTCTTTTCATGGGTTTAATTTGAATAATGTAACAGTCTTCTATAATGTTAGAGTTTGCTAGGATAGAGCCTTCCTTCTTTTAAGGAGTTCACTTTTTGTGATTATTATTGTTGTTGGTTGTGGGTTCTTTTGGTTTGTTTGAGGGTACTGTAAAATCCATCAAGCACTCAGTGCATATTCAGACTGAGGTAATATTTTAAGGCACCTGTAAGCCATTTGATTATACTTAAGGAGACATGTCAGGCATCGGGAACAACAAGACAGCATAACTTGTCTGCACATGCTGGAGAATGAGTCCCTTAAACAAAGGATCCATGTCCATCAGCCACAGGAAGCAAATTTGTTCTGGCTTCAGAATGATGTGCTTTTTAATCCTTAATAAGCAATTACATAAAATAGTCTTCTTAGTTCTTGTGATTGCTACTTTACTATCTCAAAGCTCAATTGTCTTTGAAATCAAACAGTATCTATTTGGAGATAACTAAAAGGTAAGTTTAAAAAATGTTCCTCTATAAGGCTTCTTCTTTAAACAAAGAAAAGAAGTATTCTTGGGTCCTTTCATAAAGGACCTTGTTTATTTTATTCATACAAAAATGTTTTGTGTATTCATTTAGCCAGTAATTGTTCTTTTTTTTTTTTTCCTTTTTTTGCAGGAGAGTTGTCTTTTTTATTTTTTTGCCTTTTAAGTTCAAGATCTTTGTGTTTCCCCCTCCTCGCTGTAGAAGTTTAGGCATGTGTCACTATTCCAGGCCCTTAATGGGTGTCTTAATATGTGCAGCAGTGTTATTTACCTGTAGAAGGTTAGTGGTAGCATGTAATTGGCAAGAAGCTGCTAAAAACTGGAACACAACCAGAATTAAGGATTGACACCTGATGGCAAGAGGAGTTGTTTAAACAGGAGGAGGATCTTAAGCAGCATTCTGGGCCCATTAAAAGGATCAGCCAGCCTCTGCAGAGTCTCAGAGTTGCATTTAGTGCATACTCAGGCTAATGCTTCTGAGTCATTCAAGAAATGTTGATTGTCTACATTCCACTCTTTAAAAGTACAAAAATGTATAATTTTTATATACGTCCTTTACTTTTTAAAGTGATCCTTGGCATTATTGTGTATGTGTTACATATGAGAAAATTATAACTCCGAGTTTTAAGTGAGCAAGACAAGCCAATAGCTGAAGAGCAGTAGAGGTCGGAGTTTTGAGTTTACACTTGAATAACTCAAACCGTGTGCTTTCCTAGAATGCGGTTCATCCATTCAGCTTCCTTTGAGCTTCCCGGCTAGCGGCAGACCTCAGGCTGGCTGTTAATTTACCCATTTGAAACCTGGGAAAGTAAAGTTGTTTAAACCCAATGGCCATTAGTCCAGTAGAGTCTACTGTTGGTACTAAAATTATTTTCATGCTCAGAAAATGTGCAAATGAGAAACACTTGGAATTCTGAAAATAGCAGTTTGCTATAGTAATTTTATATCTATTTAAACTGTTTTTTCACTCACACTATACTGTACTACCAAATTTTCCCACTGGTTTTTTACAAAGCTAGATACACTAGTATCTGATGGAGTTTTGAGATTCCTTGTTGAAGGACTGCAGAAGGCAGCTCTTCTGGAGCACTCATTTCCTACTGGGGCCGTCCTAGAGCTTGCTATTGCTCTTGCCCTGTGGGGAGCAGAGATTCAGACTTTGACCAGCATCACCCAGTACTCCATAGCAAAATGGACTCAAAGGCTAGTAGGCTAGTTCTCGAACTCAAATCCTGATGACACATGTCACCTTCCTCCAGGATGACTTGAGAAGCATAGGCTTGCAATCCTCATAGTGTGCACTCTGCGACTCTCCTGGCCTGTGTATGTGGGGTGCTTGTTGGGTGTGGTGTTGTTCAGACCCCTAAACCCGGTGTCTTTCTTGTGCTTGTTAGTCAGGGTTCTGTGATGGAGCTAAATCTCCAATCTGTCTTTTATTGACTTACTTTCCAAACCCAAGAATGAAGATTGACATTATAAAGGACTGAAGGAAAATACAACATTGTCACGATGGTTTATTTTGATGGTTAGTGGGATTAAGCATAAAGCTTGTAATTTTGTATTTGTCCACAAGATGGTGAAATTCTCATTAGTTTTTAATTTCTTGTAGCCCATATAAATCATTAATTTATAATCTGCATTTTGCACTCTCTATTAATTTTTTTTTACAGCCCATCTGCTGGCAAGGCCAAGATTAGAACAGCACACAAGAGAATTATGATTTTAAACCATCCAGACAAAGGTAGGTAGCAGCTCCATTTCCATGGAGTGGTCAGATGTGCTGTGAGTTCCTTTCATTTTACTCAAACTCACATAAGTGATGCATAGCTGAAGGGCCAGTAAGGTGTCATGTGTTGAGATTTTCCTAGTACAGCAGTGGGCTTGTGGTTCAGAGTTGGATGGCCAATGGAAATAGTGGATTTGAACTTTTAAGAACTTAGTCTCTGGCTTTAGGGATGAGTATCTGAACTCACAGATGTTACCACATTGTGATCAAGAAGGAAACTATGAGCTACGGGGCCATGGGGGTGGGGCAAACTGATTTGTGCATCTTCTGTTATATCTACTAAATCCTAAAGATCAAAGGACAAGATTTAGAGATTTCATCTACATATCTGTAATTTGTCATAGACGGTTGTGAATTTTTAAATTTTGTATAAGAAGACTCTGAAGCTTAGCTATTTATTTCTGCTGGCCATGTTTTTAATGTAAATTTATCTTACAGAAAGACAATTATTATAACTTTAACTACACTACAGCTGCTTGGTAGAGAAAGCCCCATATGGTCATTACTGTTTCTGCTTTAAAAGAACAGCTGGCAGAAAGTCGCACTGTATTTCAGAAGTCAAAGCGGGGCAGGAAAGTGAAGGCTTTCTTAAATTCTTATTTATAGACTTTCCGTTTTGTAATTATTTTGGAAAAAATTAAAAACAAATTTCAGATTCCTATTCATCTTGACACCAAAATAAAGCATTTTTTTCCAGCTTTCTCAACTTAATTACTTACTATAAAAGTTCTTTTCACTGAACATTATCCTTTTTGAGTTTTGTACTCACTGTTCTTTGGTGTGAATAAACAAGAGAATAAACTTTGAAAAGAGGTTTTGCTTAAAAATTTTAAACAGCTTCAGCAGTTACTGAAAGATCCACTCAACTAATTTGCTCTTTATTGTGTACTTTCGGTGTAATTGACTGAGCAAGAAATGTGTTTAAGTGCCTCCTTGAAGTCCCTTTTCTCCTCAGTGTCCTCTGCCCTTGCTGGATCAAGTGTATGCTCTTGGGTGGGATTGATTGCAATCTTATTAAGCACTCCTGTCTGTCAGATGATTGACAAGTTGTTGGTTGTCTCTACCATGAAAGAGGCAAATTCTAAAATGTATCCAAGAGAGTGTGTTGTTTTACATAAAAATTAAAATGTCTTCATGTGTTCGGACCCAGTAGTACCCAATATAATGACTGGATTCTTTTCTTAGCTAGTATACTTATCAGATGTGGGACTTGCTGCCAGTAAGCGTACCAGGTCCTTCCTGTCGGGTTTTGTCTGCACAGCCTAGTGAGAGAGGACAAGCATGCTGGCAGGAAGCTAGCCTCAACATTACCTTCATGTCTCCAAAGTTTAGGTTTATCATATATAAAACCAAGAGAGTCAGTCTGAAGTCCTTTCTGTTTATGGAACTTAATGGACTCATATTTTATACCTATTTATTTAAGGAAGGAACTCTCCTCGGTATTTCTCTTCAGATCACACATTTAAGTATCTCTCTGTCTTTTCACTTTTTTTTTTTTTTTTTACCATTTAAGAGTGTATTAACACTGTGGATTATTATCCCTCAGAGAATTGCTCATCCATTCAATTTGAAACATTTGCAGTTTCCAACGTTCATAGACTTCCTAAATTCTATCCATGAACTAACTATGATGGTCAGTGTTGTCAACTTGACAGAATCTAGAATGTCATGGATCTGTAGGCTGTTACCACTGTGGATGGCTCCATTCCCTAAGTAAGGAATTCTAGGTTGTAGAAGATATAGAACCTGGCTGAACATTGCATTCATGTAGTATTCATGGTGACTTGTGCCATAACAGCCCTTGAACTGTTGTATGAAACCCTTTCTTCCTCTGAGCTGCCTTTGTCTGAGCATCTTTTCACAGGAAAATAGAGTAAGTCGCATTTGGGAAGAAACACAGCAAAGATCTAAGGAAATATTGGTACCTACTATGTATGATGAAGTTGGAATCCTGCCTCATAAATCTAAAAATTATCTTTGGGAAAGTAACAGTTTTTTAAATAAGAATGTTTCATTGACCTTGGAAAGACAAAGCTAGGAATATTGCCAAGTATGGCAATGAGCAGATCAGTTCTGTCCCCTTCTTTTCTGTTTCTCTACCACAGTTGTTCTGGTGTGATTAGCGTCAGGTGTTGTAAGCTCTTACAGATACTAACCTCTCCTAGTGTGGAGATCTGTGGCTGTGCTCTCCCAACTCTGCCCATAGAAACTTCTTTGTTTGCTTGTTACCAGCTGGTGGGGTAAACTTGGAGCAGCACGTGTGCGAGCGAGCCGTAACTTCTTACATACTTCCCTATCATGTTGTGCAAAGAAAAGGACTCCAGGAAGTGAATGAAAATAATGCTTTTATAACTAGTTTGAAATGAGCATTCAGGTGTGTTTGAGTAAAAAGTACAGTTTACTTCTTCAGTATAGTGAGCTAGAAGATTACTGCTGTAAAAAACTATCTCTGGTCTTTGATCTGATGATTTAAGGCTAATGTCTTGGTTTGTCAACTTTTTTTAACTGCTGAAAAAAGGAATTATTCATTATAAAGTCAGTAGTTTGATATAATGCCTGATGAACATCCAAGAGAGAAGACAGATAGATGAGGCAAATTTGAAAACAGTAGGCTGCAAGCTTTCCTTCCTCTCTGGCCTCAAACCTGTCACGTAGCTGAAGATGGCCATGAACTTTATCCTCCTACCTCACCTGGTTACTGAGGTGCTAAGGATCCAAACCAGGGCTTCCTGTATGCTAGAAAACACATCAGCAGTTGAGGTACATCTCCAGCCTGACTGCAGAGATTTGTTACAGGTTGTCTAAATGGTATTTCTTAGCATTTTCCTGAGTGGTGTGTGTGTGTGTGTGTGTAAAACATAATGTAGATATAAATAAAACATACACACTTGGATCTCCAAATACGCAGGGCTTTGTGTTGTGTAGTAAAGCAGCAGTTCTGGGTTAGAGGTAGACCTCATGCACTGGGCTTTGTCTTCATCATCCAAGAGTCCAGGGGACACTAATGGAATTGATGTTGTCTCTCAAAATCAAGCATTTTTATCTTGGGGGAAAAATGGCCTGTTAATTCTGTTTAAAGACTTGGAATCGAGGTGTTCCTGGTCTCAGTGAGGTAGACGGCTCCACCTACTGTATAGCTCTTATTTATATGTGTGGACTATGCCTGCTTACACGGGAGAGATCCCCAATTCTTCTATATTTATATCCCTTTCAATAAAGAGTCAATAGTCTCATACTTTTAAATGTGTAAAATCAAAATTAATATATCGGGTTTAAAATATATGGTCATTGTGTTATTGAATGGATTTTAATTACTCTCCTAAAAAGCCAATTTTGACATGAAGTTCTAGGATACAATTACAACTTACTACAGTATCTTATATTTAAACATGTATAAACATCAGAAAGAGAGATGTGTGGTCACTAGTCATATGAATTCTCTAAGGAAAACCAATGCCTAGCTAGTTTGATTCTTATTTTTTGTTTTTGATTTCTGACAAGGTCCTACTGGCTGGTCTAGATCTCATTATTTATATAAGCCATACTATTCTCAAACTGGTAGACCCTGTGTCTGCCTCCTGAGTGCTGGGATTAATGGTGTACATCACTATGGCCAGCTGATTTTCTTTTATAATCTGTGAAATAGACTACCGTCCTCTTCCCCCATCACACAGGGGTTCTCTCTCTTTTTTTTTTTTGTCTTTATTGTAATTGCCCTATTTTGGTTTAAGGCTGAAATTTTTTTTTGTGAACAGATAATTTTATAATACACTTAAAAAATAAATAGTGAGAGACTAAAAAGAACATGTTTAATGGGCTAAAAAGGTGGCTCAGTCGGTAAATTAATTACTGTGCAGCATGAGGACTTGATTCAGAACTTCAGCATGTGTGTTGAAAGCCGGGCATATCTGTCTGTGCTCCTAGTGCTGGGGAGGCAAACACAGGGCAATCGCCAGCATGCATTGGCCAGCCCATGTCTCAAAGAGTAAAGTAAGTTGCTTATGTTGACCAACCTTGTCTATCTGTGAAGAGGTCCATTTGTTCAAAATGTATTGTCGTCATACGTTCCTGAATCACGTTGCAAATATTTGTTGGGGATTTTTGCATTTGACTTCATCAAAGACTGTAGTTATATTGTTACATCTTTATATGGTTTTTGTATCAGAATAATTTTGGCTTTATAGAGTGCATTTGGTAGTGTTCCTTTGTTTTCTATTTTGTGGAACAAGTTAGTAACAATTGGTATGAGATCTTCCTTCAAAATTGATAGAATTCAGCATTGAACACATCTGGCTTTTCTTTGAGGGAGACATTTGTTTGCAGCTTAGATCTTCTGATTGCTTTTGATTGGTCTCTTTATTTATGTCTTCTGGCATTCACTCTGGTAGGTATGCTTTTAGAAATTCTTCTATTCCTTCTAAATGTCCCTGCTGTTTAGAGTATACATTTTGAAAATGTTCTCTGATCATCTGTATTTCATTGGCGTCTGTTGTAAAGACACCCCTTGGTCTCTAGTCTGTTAGTTTATATCTTCTCCCTCTTTTTATAGATTACCTAAGAATTTGTCAGTCTTACTAACTTTTTCAAATAACCAACTCTTTTTTTTTTAAGATTTATTTATTTATTATATATGAGTACACTGTAGCTGTCTTCAGACACACCAGAAGAGGGCATCAGATCTCATCACAGATGGTTGTGAGCCACCGTGTGGTTGCTGGGATTTGAACTCAGAACCTGTGGAAGTACAGTCAGTGCTCTTAACCACTGAGCCATCTCTCCAGCCCCAAATAACCAACTCTTAGGTTGATTCAGTACACTGTTCTTTTTAGTCTCTGTTTCATGGATTTCTTACCTAATCTCTTATTTCTTGCCATCTAATAGGTTCAGGGTTAGCTAATTGCTGAGATTCATTATTTGGGTTGTTTATTTGAGAACTCAAGGTGCTTGCACATGTG